TCTATCTATCTATCTATCTATCTATCTATCTATCATCTGTCTTTCCCTTGACTCCTGATTCCATGAACATTGTGCTTCTGAGTAAAATCAAATCCTGGCAACTGTGATCTTATCTCTGTTCATCATGCTGCTTATCGTGTTGGTATCATGAGGGCTTTGCTTTGCTTTGCATGTAGTTGCAGTCCATGCTGAAGCCGTCTTCGATTTTCATCAGTAAGTGCTTCAAGCCCTCTTCCCTCTCACCAAGCAAGGCTGTATCAATTTGCATACTGCGGGCATTTAATGCCCCTCCAGCGGTCTTGTGACCCTGATGCCACATTCTTCACGTAGTCCAGTTTCTTGAATTATTTACTCAGCATACAGGAAGCGTACACCTTTCCTGATTTTAACCTGTGTAAAATCTCCCTGTTCTGTTAGAACGACTGGCTCTCGGTCATCATACGGTTCTCCATGAGCACAATTCAGTGTCCTGGAATTACCATTCCTCACAATGCTCCATGTAACTAGGATCCACCCAGTAGAATGCCTTTGCATAGTCAACAAAACACATCTTTCTGGTATTGTCTGTTTTCAGCCCAAATCCAGTTAACGCCATCACGGATGCTCCTCATTCCACAGACTCTTCTGAATTGTGCTTGCATTTCTAGCAGCTCCCTGTCAATATACAAACCATTTTAAAATTACCTTCAGCAAAAGTTTGCTCCTGTGGTGATGCTAGTGGTATTTCTGGATAAATTCTGCATTCTGTTGGATCGCTGTTCTTTGGAATGGGCACAAACAGGGCTCTCTTCCCGTCTGTTGGCCGAGGCAGCTGTCGCCCTAATTTCTTGCCACAGACAAGTGAGCCCCGCCAATGCTGCATTGGTCTGTTGAAACATTTCCGTTGTTTCTTGTTTGTTTGTTGCTCAATAGATGATCGCTTTATCACCATCCTTATTTCCATATCAAAGGAGGACTCAAGATCTTACTGTTGGCCAACACTTTCGGTTTTCCACCCTCAGGCCTTTGCACATTTCTATCTCCTTACTTAGGCTGAACTCTGGGAAGTCACCTCTTAAACCTCTCTTTCGATCACAGACCACCCCTTTTATTAGTAAACCCTGCTAGCTCTGCTTTTAAAAACATTCAGCATCACACCACTTCTCCCCAACTCCGCCATGATGACCCTCCCAAGATCAGCCATGGTCTCTGTCTCTGGCCTCAGGTAGATGTGGGAGCTCCCAAACTGGCATCCCTGTGTGTTTTCCACAGAGGAGCCAGATGATCCTTATAAAGCAAGGACCAGACCCTCTCTTTTCTACTCAAACCAGCTCATGGCTCTTGTCTCACTCAGTTAAAAGTAAGACCTTCCAGTGATGTACAAGGCCCTTGGTAATGTGGGCCCTTGCCATTCTGACCCAGCTTCTGGTTCTTTCCTTGCTCGGCTCACTCCGCTTCAGCAGAGCTGGCCTCCATGCTGTTCCTTCATTGTCCAGACACATCTTCTGTCTTCAGGCCTCTGCTCTGGCTGTTGCTTCTGCCCACAGCACTCCTCCCTCGGATCCACCAGCCTCCCCCTCTCGCCCACTCGAGTCTCCACACAAATATGACAGGGCTTCAAAAGGCTCCTGGACAAACGGAGGGAAAGGATAAGGGACTTTTCCCTACAGGGCTGACTCCTGTTTAAAACGATGCTCTGGGCACCGCGAATGCCTCCTTCCTGAGGGTGCTTTGTCTTGTCTAGCTTTAAGACTTCTTCAAGAAATGGGTTTCCAGACATTAACAAATCAATCAATCAGATAAATCAGCTCTCTACTCTTTGCTTTTGTCCTGTCCCTGCCCCTCCCCTGCTGTAATATCCCCACGGCAAATCATCACTGGACGTGCTATTTATGTTACGTCTTTGTGTTCTCC